CGTGCGGCCCGGGTTCGATCCTCAGCACCACATACAAACAAAGATGTTGTGTCCGCCAAATACTAAAAAATAAATATTAAAAAATTCTCTCTCTCTCTACCTCTATCTCTCTCACTCTCTCTTTAAAAAAAAAAAAAAAAAAAAAAAAAAAAATTTAAAAAAAAATGACCTTAAAAGAGGAAGTATGATTTTGACTGATGGATTGGTGTTGTGGAGACATTCCAGGGGACAGATTTACATGGGTGACATTTTGAGCCTGGAAAATTGACTGCTTTCAAAATCAATGCATGGTCTCATTTAATAAGACCTTAGAACAGCTGTCAAGACAAGAATAGTAATGAGAGTTAAAACTGCATTTGTAGGTTAGGGTCATTGAAGAGATTTTTGATGGCATATTACAAGTATATGGAATATGTCCTATCATTAACGTACATTAATATCACATATATCACTGTTATTAATATAGAGTATATTGCATGTAACTCTATTTTATAGGTCAGAAATATTATGTTTTGGATGTGAGGTAGCCCCTAAAATCTCATGTGTGAGACAATGCAAGAAGGTTTAGAGAAGAAATAATTGGGTTATGAGAGCTTTAACTATGAGTGAATTAATCTACTGATGGAATTAAGTTAGTAACTGAAGGTGGGTAGGGTGTGGTTTGAGGGGTTGGGCATTGAGGGCATGCCTTGGGGTGTATATTTTGTATCTGGTGAATGAAATATCTCTCTCTGTGCTACTGATCATCATGTGAGCTGCTTCCCTCCACCACACTCTTCTGCCATGATATTATGCCTTACCTTGAGCCCTGAGAAATAGAGCCGGCTGTCTATGGACTGAGAACTATGAAAGTGCAATCCCCCAAATAAAAGTTTCCTCCTCTAAAATTGTTCTTGTCAGGTCTTTTAGTCATAGCTGTGAAAAAGAATATATTACAAAAAACTAATTGAGGTTCAAGTTTAACCTTTCAGAATTATATAGTAGAAAGGGATAGTAGACAAGGATAAATAAAAACCTACTGCAAGAGCCCAGGTGAGAATTAAAAGAGATCTGAACAATCACAATCTTAGTACATATGGGAAAAGATGAGAGTAGATGGATGTGAGGAACAATGGAACAATTCATTTGTATGTATAGATTGGAAGTGCCTGAATGTAGAGATCTGAGACAAAATCTCATATTACCACATCATGATATAGAACAGAACAGTAGTACATTAAGAGAAATAACTCCTTTTGTTTCATCTGTTAAGTAATTATACCTCCTAACTGCCAGAATTATTGTGCTAACATATACATATATAGCAGAAAGCCTAGAGATTTAGTCAGTAAACATTATTATTAAATGTTCAATAAAATACCTAGTAATAATGTTATTAATGAAAATAACTGACTTTAAAATGTCTTTGTTATTTTATTTTTTTAAGAATAATGAAAAGTTATAAAGTAAAATCCAAACACTACAGAAATATAATGGCATAAGTACTTTCAAACAGCAAAGACAATAATAAAAGTTTGGTATTTATAGACAAAATATTTTTCTCTTCCTACAGAATAGAAATATACACTACTATTATTTCTGTTTGTAAAACAAAACTGGGATTATTCTAAACAACTTTATCCTTTTTATGTAGAAGAATATTTTGGAGCTCTTCCCAGAACAACAAAGAAATATTTCTTGTTCTGTTTAATAAGGCTACTTACTTTATTACATTAGTGTAACTATATAGAATCTAAGGAAACATCAGGAAAAGTAGGTGGAGGTTCAGGCCCAATTAAAGCAGATGATAACTTTGTGTAAATTAGAAAACATGTTCCCATAGGTGTTTACAATTTCTTTGGTGCATGCACTGATTAGCCAACTCTGAGCTGAATTTTGATCCCTGCCTTTGTTTCAGGTTGGACACTCGTGACAGAGAATAATATATGGAACCTGTCAAGTGGTCTTTGAAATCTCTTCTGGAACTTAGAAGGCAGCATGAATCTCAAGCTGTAGAGTTTGGTTTCTTTTCAACAGAAATCATAGTTGAGGCCTTGGATGGGTAAGAATAAATGAGAAAGATAGAAGAGCTCCAAGGGGAAGATTATATAAAAAAAAAAATATTGAAGAGTGATAATTCCAAATCCATCTGTGAGAATGGAACAAGGAGATCCAGAGACAGCGAAAAAATAATGCATAAACAATAAAATAATCTCTATTCAAGTCACATGATAAACTTCTAGTCTGTCAGCTTTTCAGGCTACATATTCACATGTATGTATGAATATATCAAGGTATCACTCACAATCTGAGTCTCTGCTCTCTGTTTTCTGTTTTCTAAATTTGGGAACTGAATTCATTCAGAAAACTGTTTGGATAAATTCCCTGCTGTCTGAACTGTCACTCACCACAAGAAACTGAAGAAGCAGACAGATTCTGACAACATAAGGTACTCACTCTCCAAACTTACTTACTATATGAGCTCAAGACACAAGTGAATTTTAAGGCGCACTTGTATATACATTTAAATTTCATTTTAAAATCTGGAACATCGAGTAAAATTTCCTTCAGCCCATTGTTTATTCAGCCATATGCAGGAATTTAGTTCTAGTGGTTAATTATTGTATCTACATTACATATTTTTGTTGGGCTCTTAATAATGTGCTCTTGAACAGATTTAATTTTATTGCCATGAAAATTGTTTTCTTAAATATTTTCAATTGCTTCTTCTAACAAGAAAACTTCACCAAGTTTCCCCTTTCTAAAGCTGATAATAGTGTGATTTTTCCTAAACTTATTTTGTCAAGTTTCTAAATTTATCTTGTTTTCAGTATATTAAGTTTTACTTATAGAGATTTATTGTACTACTTGCTATTAGTACAAGAATGAAGGACTCAAATTTTAGTGTCACAATGTTTTAGCATTTCATTTTGAAATATTAATTTTACTATAAAGTAAAAGTTGACTTTTTTACTTTCTAAAAAATAATAATTATTTCTAAGAATGTTTTCATTAGAAAATATTTTTTGCTGGGTCTGTGACTTCTTAACTAGGGTTTCTGTTTAAGACACATGGATATTATATACAACAATGAGAAGAAAACATAGTTAAGTTAATAATAAGTACAACAAATGTTTTTCTCTTACTTTTATAAATTGTTTAAAATAAAAAAGTATTCAAAAAGGTTTCAGTAGATATAAAAATAATGTTAATTAAAATTTGTTTTATCTATGTATAAGCAATCAAACATGGTACTGCCTATAAGAGACTAAGAAAATAATTTAGGGCTAAAACTAAATTACAGAAACAGTTAAAGTCTCTCCTATACCTTTGTTCTCAATTGTTCTCTCATTTTAGGTATAATTGAATTAACTATTCCATTGATATTTTTGGAGCAAATTTATAAAGCCTCACTTGAACAAATGGGATATTTTTATTTCTTTAGCTAAGTGGTCTCACCACACTTTTGTTTATGATAGAAACAAATTCCATCATTGCCATATTCAGTGATACTTTAATATTAGTTGTCATCAAAACTTTTGCTTACCATTATCAATAAAATATTTCAAGGGATGCACTCAATATTAGTGTATATATTTATCGTATATGAAAATCTATTAACATTGATAAAATACAAAATGAATATACATGTAACACTGTCTACTTTAAACCCCCATATATGTATACTCTCATTTGTAGATAATTTATCTGTTTCATACATAAAAGGACTGAATATCTCATCTTGTTACCCAGTATCTCAGAGGTTGTTTTCTTCTATAATGACTGAGAGGTACCTTATTTCTTTTTCTTTTTCTACTTCTTCTTCTTCTTCTTTTTTTTTTTTTTTGGTCCTATCCCAAACCATTCTGTCTGCTAAGCTGAATCTGTTCATCAAAAGTTTTTTTTTTTCTCTTTTACAAACTATTATATCACAATTTATACTTTTAACATGAAAGCCTTTAATTTTCCTGGAACTTACTCTTCCTAGAATTAAAATTCATAATTTTTCAAAGTTTAAATTATTATTCCTGGAGTAAACATAAACATATATAAACTTGTCTAGTTGATCTGGTTTATGGTAAATAACGTGGGAGTTTGTACTGGATATGATTTTTTGTGTTGTTTGAAATGTATATTTGTGTACACCATGTGTATGTAAATGTTATCTTGTTAGGAATATCTTTTTATAAGACTTATCATTGCTGATGCTAACTTCTTATACCCTTAATTACTAAAAGCAGAAATATTTGCTGAATAATTTTAGTTCTGTCTACTACTAGAAAAACCAATGTTACCTTACTAGAATTTACTTCTGGGGGCAAAAGTAGCCTTATAAGTAAATGTTAAAGAGATGAGTTTATTTTAGTTGCTGAAAATATTTGTTTCATGGGGTATGTGTTGCATTTGTGTGTTATGTAAGCTCATTTATGCACTAAAAATTAAAAAAAGCAAAACCTTCTAAAATGAAAGCAACTCTTTAAATCTTGAAGAGAAAATTTTAAAATGTTTTCTTAACAATTTGGAATTATAGCAAAATATGTGGATCAATAAAGCCACTAGGCATGGGCACATGGTTTTTGAAGATATGAATAGGCAGGAACTGAGGCAGAAATAAGTGTGTGTGCGTGTGTGTGCGCGCGGGTGCACGCGCGCCTGTGTGTATCTAAAGAGTTAACTTCATTTATAAGATTTTCTAAATTTAACAGATATTTGACATATTTTCAAATATGGGGGCCATATTTTGCTTCTTGAAAGGACTGGTATTCTGAAAGTAGTTTTCCTAAGTCTCTATCTTACTAACTCTTGATAATTATCCTTTGGTCTTCTAGTGACAGAGCTAAATAACCAGAAATCAGAAATCAAAATTTTGGAAACTAGTTTGAAAAGGCCTTGTTCAATGGTATATGCAGAATGTAATTTATTTATTTTTTGTGACAGTTTTAATAAAAGTGACGTGAAACACAAGGGACATAATGTTAGCGATATTGCACCTCAAAAGAGGAGAAAGCGCAGTATGTTACCTCCTGATTAGCAGCAGCTAGTTCTTCTTCCAGTGCAGAGACTCTTTCTAAAGAAACCCTCAGTCGCTCCCTTACCTAGAAGAAAAATCAAAATATGTGCAGTAATGTACATCCCATGCATATTAAACTGTGCTGAACCCATCATTAACATCATCAGAGACAATTTGGCAAATAATAAAGTATTTATAGCCCTAAGTGCCCAGAATAATAAACTTGGCAGGAATACTATGAATACATTGTCACCTCATAGAATCACTGTATCAAGGGATTTTCTTGTAAGCAAATCCTTTTGATGGTTCACTGATAGAACTTCCGATGGGGTTGGAGATTGACTGGTCTTGTTCTCAATTCTGATTCATAGTAAAGTATATTATGAATTCATCTGAAAAATAGTCACTGATTAAGCATAAAAAATAGGCAAATTTTTCTGTTTCTTTAAGTAAATTTTCATTTGATGTTTATATTGTAACATTAAAAATGATTTGTCTAAAAGCAAAGTGTTCTAAGAACCTGAAACATGTTTATTACTCCTACGTTTTGTATTAGTTTGAAGTCTATATAATTTTTGAGGGATTACAAAGTGCTTTAAAATTCCCAACTATCTTCCAGATTTCAAAGGCTGAACCATATATTTTGTAGATCCAAAAACTGCATCTTTCAGTTTGAAAGTAATTATGATTAACACATATTTCACACATGAATGAAATTCCAAGAAGTTTCTTTGACTCTGGCTTTTCTCTAACTTCTAAAATTGTTTTATTGGCTGTATGTTTAAACCTATAGATGTTCTATACATTGTATTTATCACAAGTAAAATATTTAGAGAAAAACTGCTGAATCAAAATGAATGACTAGAGTGGTTTAGTTTTCCTTCAAAAACATCAAATTTACAATATTAAGATGCAGTTGAGTTCTCCAACTCAACTCAACTGCATCTTAATATTGTAAATTTGATGTTTTTGAAAAAATAATAAATAAATAAATAAAAAAAAGATGCAGTTGATCATGAATTTTAATTACTTAGGAATTAAAATTTTTCCATGTGCATTTACAGTCTTTATGTAGTGAATATTTATTTTAATATTATAATCATTTTCCTTTATACTTTAATTTTGATATTGTATGAATTAAATGGTATTTTTATTGTTTTAATAATATTTAACTGGAAATATAGACTAAGTATATAAAATATATAAACATCAGATAGAAACAAATTTTAAAGTTGGAGTTGTAATATTATTTTTCAGTTAAAAATCAAAGGCAAGTAATGTCCTATTAACCTAGAATCTATAATTAGGAATAAAAATTCTCAATCAGACATTTTAATACTGAATTATGATTACATGTACTTTCAGGTGATTGGGGGCACTCGACTCCTTAAATACATCTTAATTAAGCAAGAAAAATATCTGAGTGGGGTTTTAACATTAATTATATTTTTTTATGCTCCAATTCTTTGAAAGGTAATAATACATGCATAAATAAACATTTAATATCAAAAACAGTTGCATGGGATCTTTCTAGCTGTGCCAGCTTAAATGCTAGCTTTCTGTGTTATAGCCAAATATCCAGTTGCTTATGAAAATGCATAGAATTAACACTGATTAATAAGTAAACAATAAATGCTTAGAAATTTTTGATAATTTAATTTGGAGAATTTTTTTTAAATGACAAATTTTGGGAGAGATAAAATAGAAGCAATTATCATAAAGCCATGAAAATGAGAAGGATAACCACTATGTGCAATGCAGATATCATGGAAATATTAATAGACATGCCTGATATTTAATGGGGATGATTATGAAGTTTTATATCTACTTCCTAAAATATCAACTAAATAAGGGTGTTCTAAGATGGTCTAGGAATTCTGGCTGATGAGAACTGCAATGCAAAGTCACTAAATACATGATAATGCTCTCTGTATGCAACACTTATCAGCTCATACATGGAGTGCTGTAAGGGTTAAGGTGCCAACTTTGGAAGACAGAGATGCACTGGAATGTTTCCAACAGAGTCAATCAAGCCACGTAAAGAATGACTGAATCCAGGCTGTATTGTAGGTGAAAACAGCTTCCTGACTTTTGCTAAACTGATAATCTTAGAAACTAATCTAATCTGTATTCTATTTACCACAAGTGGAGCATTTTATAGTCTTATTATATTGAAACTTCAGGGAATAAAAATTATTGAGCTTATCCAACAATATGAAAACGGAATAATCATCCCTCAATAAATTTAGAGATATTTTTATAAACTATATGACCCAGAAAGTAATGAATCTAAACTGTCTTCCTAAGCAAATAAAAAATGATCTGTGTATATATATTGAATTAATAATATGAATTTAAAAATTGAAGCTGTAAATATCAATAAAGTATGATATAAATACTTTACTCACATTTATATGAGGATGAATTATTCTCTGTACTTTTAATTTCTGGACAAGACTCAGGCAAATGAAACACGTCAGTTTCATCTTCATCTTACCTCTGCTAAACTTGGGAAGGAGAAAGTGGAGGGATCCAAAGAACTAATCTTTCCAGGGCACAAAGAATTCTAACATTTTACTTTATCTACATGGCTTGAACTGAATTGATAGGAAAAAATAGTCTCTCTGACAAGACTTTTAGCTTCTACTCTGCTCTGAGCATGGCACTAACAGAACACTGTAGTTATCTTTGTTTTCTAATAGTTTTTTTTTTTTCTTGTGAAGCTATCTAGACATGATTGACATAATATAAAATTATAGTTTAAACATTTTTCTAAATGTAAGGACACAGTTGATATAGCCCTATTTTAACTTTTTTGGACTTTTTAAAATGATTGAACCACTTCAATTAATCTAATGTCTGTATTTTATCCCCTAAGATAAAATGATTGGTTATTTGTTGAACTATTGTAGTAGTAACTCTCAACTCCATATTATTTATTTACCTATAGAATTTTTCATTTTTCTTTTCATCTGTTATATTGACTTTCCTCAAAATAGTATGAAAAATACTAAGGAAAGCATTTTTCCAAAAGCTGTTTCAAGGTCATAGAAATTTTACCCCTGAAGATTAATATAAAACAAGTCCCTGAACATGACAAATGTGTTTCAGGATGAAGAGAGATCTTGATGGAAGAAACACAAATTCCAAATTGAAATTATGGTATGGCATAATGGGTGTCATTTTGGGGATTACCAATCCTATAACACAGCATTTTTGTGAGGAAATCTCCTTATACTACAAGTCAAATTATTTTGACTTGTGATATTAGATCCTGAAAGTATAATAGGAAGGCATGTGTAATTACTATGTTTTGACCATGTATGTCTAATACACCTGGTATTTAATAGTCAATGGTTTCTGAGTAACACAGGAATATTTCTGAAAAACACAGGGATATTTCTCATTTCCTCCAACCCTGGTAAACTTAATAGAGGATGATGTCAAGATTACTGCTGATCTCAGTTGATTTTGAAAATTCTACCCTGCAACTCAGTGGTTGTATAAATAAGTAAACATCAATAATGAAGACTGCCAATCAGGGTCATTGTCCATAGTTATACTCAATCTTATATAGTTTATTTGGTTATTTATATTCTAAACTTTCTGTAATAAAGTTAGTAGTTTCTTATCCCCAATATAGGTTAATTATATCTTTTATGGCTTTTATCTGTGTTTTAGCATAATAGCCACAATGCTTAGATTAGAATATTGCAATTGCTTCTTTATGTTGTAGCTTTGTCCCTCCCCATCTCCACAAAAATCTGTGAGCTACTCTTAGTTGGGGAAACTGTATGCAAAGGGACTTAAGCACACATTAATTTTTCCATGACTAAATTAAATGCTATTTAAACAAACATCTGGATCAATAGTGATGGAAATGTCTATTTAGTTTGAAAGTTTTAGCAAACACTGAAATTTACTCATATTAATAATAATGTTTATTTTTTGAGGACTTTTCATAAGCTATGCACTGGCTAAAAAGCTAGATCATATCCAAGCTTCGTGGTAACTCAAAGATAGTTACTGATGTTACTCTCATTCCAAAGAAGAAGAAAAATGATGCTCAAAGAATTGGATCAACTGTCCATGTTAGTCCACTCCAGATTTCAGGCTCATAACCTTCTTTCTTTGGGCTACTGAACATTCCATTAATTGATAATCTATTCAGTTGCCCCTAAACTCACCAGTGACCAGTGTGCTTCTGTTTCAGTTTATAATAGTATTATAACTCTTAGGGCCATATTAAAGAATTCTTCATTTAATTATGCTAAACTCATAGAACTTCTGTTTAGCAAATTATTTCTAGATTCTAAATTCTGCAAAAACTATTTTCTTCTTTAATGAACTAACATCATCAGGATATTTGTCTCAAATACTGTTTATTTCTTTCAGTTCTAGCAAATAATTTTCTTTACAAAAGCATCCCTCAAGTGATGTCAGAGTGCTCTTAGGGAACATCCAAAATCACACATTTTCTAGTACCTTGGTCTATCCCTTAAAACGTTAAGCCGGGTGTAGTGGTGCATGCCTGTAATCCCAGTGGTTTGGGAGGCTGAGGCAGGAAGAACCCAAGTTCAAGATCAGCCTCAGCAACTTAGTGAGGTGCTAAGGACTTAGCAAGACCCTGTCTCAAAATAAAACATAAAAAAAGGGCTGAGGGTGTAGCTCAGTGGTTAAGCACCCCTGGTTTGAATCCCTGGTAACAAAGAGAGAGAGAGAGAGAGAGAGAGAGAGAGAGAGAGAGAGAGAGAAGAAAGAAACTGTTAAATTTTCTCAGAACCAATCCATGTTCTTCTTAGAGCTATAAGAAGAATTATATCGTGATATATATATATATATATATATATATATACACACACAGTGTGTTAATATATAGAGTTATATTGTGTGTTGGCCATGCTGTCTACTGTAACTTTCTCTACTTATAAACAAAGAACAAAACAAAACAACAACAAAACCTCATTCTTTAGTTCTCAAATAAAAAGTCACTTCCTCTTGAAACATTCTCTCTACTTTCTTGTCTGTGAAGTACAATTTGTCACTGCCTTTTTGTGATTTTATATTATATTGTGCACATCTATTTTTGATATTGCTTGTTATTGATATGAATATTGATATGAGTCTCCAGCCCTATGAACCATTCATTCATGAGAAGAATGCCTTTTTTATCTTTATGTGCCAAATAACTGCCAAAGAGTCTGGCACAAAGTAAATATTCTATTAAGTCTTACAAATTTTTAACAATGCCTTTTTGTGATAAAAGAGGGAATATAATAGGAAACTAAACATTAAACATATTAAATGATTATTTGATAGTATGTTTAACATAGATATTTATATAATATCCATTCATGTTTTATTCAAAGTTATTAAAAAATCAGTTTCTTCTCATGGCTAAAATGAAAGATGAGATACGATTTCTTCTTAATCATCTAGAAGACAGAATTATAGTTATCCTTATGCACATACTCCACATAATTCCCTTCTCCAAGAACATCTGAAAGACTGATGATAAAAATATATAGGTATATAAATATTAAATAGAACAAAAATGTCTGCATGCTCAAAAATTAGATAAAACTGGGCAATAATCCCTAGTTTGAATTTTAATCCTCAGAACTTGTCATATATTTTATAATAAAGTGCCCCAATTCCCACTGTACTAAATCCCAAAGGCTTATTAATTTTTAAAGTTCATTCTTTGAAATTTCACAAAATTGAAATCATAAACCTTACTAATCTCCAAAGGATATTATCATCATATTGGCTTATATATGCCAGTAGAACTTATTTGAGTAACAACTAAGAGAAGCTTAGGGTTACTTTTAAAAAGACCTAAAAGCAAGTTTTTCTTCTAATACCTTATGCTGTTACATGCAGAGACTCTTAAAAATGTATATTTGAGACTAAGATATTAGAGACCTAACAAAATGGAATGCTGCTAATATGAATGTCTAAAAGTTAAAGTATACCCAATTTGCACTACAAAATAGGTGTAATTTTCGGGTAGTGGTCTCTTATTTTGGCATCTATAGACATGCATTTCAGAGAGAGAAAGAGAGTGGGTTTGGAAAAGAGAGAGAAAGAGAGGCTGAATGACATTACACAGTATTAAATTTCAAATGGCCATCTGGACTAGGGCCATAATGTACCATAATAGAGGTATAATTTGAATAAGCCACAGATTCAGTGGTATAAAGAAAGAACATGGTCATGAATATTACAAAGGTATACACAATAACACATTTTCATTTTCATTTTTTTTTTTTCATGTAACTCAGATGAGTTCCTCTGAACTGACTGGCTGGAGGAGTCACATGAGTCACTGGGTAAAGACAAAGACCTTCATGCTAATGACAAAAGCATGGGTCAGCTTGAAATCTTTCGTCCATACTATACCTTTTCATCCAAGGCCTTGTGGTGCTCAAATAAAGATTTCAGCGCCTTGAGAACCTCAACTTCGCTGGACACTCCCGAGGGTGACTGAGCTTGCCGTTTTACCACCGTCATTCTTAATGACCTTTCATGCCGTGACACAAGGCACTCCAAATGCTCCAGTAGCAGCTATGGGATTGAACAGAAAATGAGATCATCTTTTGGATACAATTAATCTGTACTTATAACTGATTTCTTCCTTCAACTATTACAGGCTTACATAGTACACAGTGATAACCTCAGATAGTACATTGGGTAAGAGCCTGGTAACACAATGCTGTCTAAACCAGGGTTTATAAAATATGTTAAAGACAAGTTACATTTCGATCATTTTACAAATTGCTGAATCTAAAAATATAATGCAAATGTCTAGCAGATTTAATAATTTCAGTATGGGTTCCACGGAAATAGTACACTTGATAAAATATGCATGAGCTAATGATAATGATTAAAGAACATTTATTCCTTAGATAAATGTAGGATGCCATGATAATGTTTTAAAAGAACAGTATCCAAAATCAAAATGTATTTCATTTACATTTGACCATTTAAATTTTTTTGAGATGAAGAAAATAAGTGCAGTCATTAGGATGATGGTTTAAATTATGGTGATAATTACATAATTTTATTCACAATCAATTGTTATATTACATTATATGAAATATATGCAACCAACTATATTTTAGTAACTGAGGTACCCAGTAGTCATTTGGTAAAAGGAAGCTATGGACATAACCGTGTCTGTGTTGGAATCTACATCCATAGCAGCCTGCCAGGCCATGACAAATGTGAGGGGAGAATGCGGTAAACCCTTTCCAGATTATTCCAGGCTCTATGTTCTGTGAGTGCCAGAAAAGGATTGTTTTAAAATGGTTTAAATGTGAATGGGTGTTGCACATTTGTTTGCATTTTAAAAGGGAGTTCTGCTGCTAAAAGCAAAGATGCATGAGGAAAAAAACCAGAAATTATTGGTTCTTATCAGTTATTACAATTCTATCAGTGAAGAGCCACAAGCACCTGGTAGCATTTGTGGGAGAGATCTCTGAAAGAAGAGTTAAAAGTGTATGTTACAATAGTGTCTCTACAAAATAAGAAAAAAATAAAGTGAAAATTGGACAAACAAAAAGGGAAATGCAGATATAGGATGTAAGGAAGGAAAGAAAGTAATTATCTTTTTCTCAGACATTAGCATCAATGAAATATTTTGGTTTTTACAATACCACTTTCTATTCAATGTTACATATTACTATCACATTTCTTGATGCTTAATAAGTTAAATTATCTACTTTCATTGTCACTAATTATGGTTGGAAAGTGTTGGAAATTTTTGCCTGTTATTGACATAAAGAAATACAAATGTCTGAGATCTTAAACATAGATCAGTCTATTTGCTGATATTTACATAGATATTTACATAGATCAGATCTATAAACATAGATCATATTTAAGGGTCTAAATAATAGTATAGATTAACCATCCCTAATCCAAAATTCCTGTAGACTCTCATCTGGTAGTATATATACATATTCCAAAACTGAAAAACTCTAAAATCTGAAAAACTTTTGATCCAAGCATAGCAACAAGGGATACTCAACATGTACTGGTTTATCTGTAGGAAGATAACATAATCTTTAAGATAATACTCTCTAGGAAAATAACCACAAGGAGATATAATAATGAAGCTACACAGAACATCTACTAGTGATCCCAAATCTTTTGGTCATCCTCTTTACAACATTTGACAAGTTCCTTACATTGCAACATCTACTTTTCCAACAGAGTACCAAAAATTCCCTACAATTTTCAGCCTTTTGTGCCATGCAGTTTTTACTAATAACACATCCTTGCAAAATGTGAGTTTTATGACTGAATATATTAGGTGAAGACATCTAATTTGCTCAGTGGAAGTGGCAAAGGAATTATGATAAGAGCTAAGCCCCTTACCAGTTTGCAGTGAACTTCTGGAATTTGGTACTGAAAGCTCAGACTACAGACTTTTGTTTTGTTTGTTTGGTTTGGTTGTGTTTTTGCTAAGTATTCTAACCATCCATTAAATAATGACTGTCCGCTTAGAATAACTAGAGTGAATTCTGTTGCCTACAACTAAGAACATGTTGCCACTCCAGTCATAAGGTTCTGCCAGCTGATACTCATTTTCTTTGTAATAATATCTGTCAGGTCCTGTGCCAACTCTCATTATTTCTTAAATGTGTTAGCTCTCTTTACATTGCCATTGTTCCCAGTGTTACTCTAGGTATAATTCTTGATGATCTTTATTATTCATTTAAATGATTCTTCCAACATATTGTCCTCTAAATTTCTAGACTTCATGCACTTTAATGGTTTCAATTTCTACCTTATATCACTCACACCCAGAGTTCCACTACAGATCCTGCTGTTATCAGTAAGTGCAATTCTGTGATTTCTGCATCCATAATCTAATCCACAGATCACTACATTTTAGCTCACCCATGTAAGTGCTCAAACTCTAAAAATACTTTCACTCTCAACCCTTTTATCATAGGAATTTGTTATTGCCTCTGACCACACTCACACCCTCACCACCTCTTTACTTAGCCTAAAATGAACAGTTCCATCTTTAATCTAACCACTCACCACTGCCTCCACTGCTCCCATATGGGCCTAAGACCCATTGTTTCCTAGTGAATTATTGTAATAGTAGCTTCTTAACTGGTTCCCCTGCTTTCATCTAACAGGTTATTCTCAAAACACTGTTTAAGTTAAAATATAAGTTAGGTCATTTATACCTCTACTCCAATTCTCAGCATTTTCTCATTAGGCTAAAGTAAAATCCAGAGTCCTCACACATCCCAAGGAATGTAAATTGTCTGCTTTCATCCATTCTTCATGATTCTTCCAGGATAGTTGCACTGGTTTCCTTGCAGTATTTTCTTTGCTTGTTGAGTTTTGTTTGTAATATCCATGTCTCTGCATTAGGCCCCCTGTACTTGGCTTCTCTTCCTAAAATATTTGCTTTCAGAGACCATTTTACTCCATAATCCCTTCCATATCTTTACTCAAATGTCATTTTGGGGCAAGGCCTTCTCTGATAACCTCTTCTGCAGCTTTCTTTTTCATTTTTGCACCTGTCCCTATCTAATGTACTATTCATCTCATGTTGATCTTGTTTACTGTTTAAATCCCCCAAATTAATATAAGGCCCCTAAGGAAGTTTTTCTATATTTTGTTCAATTCTCTATGTACAGTGCCTAAAAGATGCTCACATGTGCTTAGTGAGTAAATCAATAGACCCTAGAAAATCAAGTGTTTGCATATTTACAGGACACAAATCTTTAGAGAAATGGGAATCTGGGATATGTGGCTTGGATAGATGCAACAGAATGGTTAGATTAGGTTAATATCAGATGAAGGAATGATGTTTTCCATAATATATGGAGGAGAAATAGTCAGTTAAATGATTACCTGTACCCTCTTGCTGTGGGGTGCCTGTGAAAGTCAGGTTTTGGTGGACTGAGTCATAGCTGTACTAGACTATTTTAAAGAGCATGGAGAATATGAAGACAATGAGGTAACGAGAATGCTTTGAACTGTACTGAAGAATCTGAAGAAAGAAAATGACAAGATAAAGTTTTAAAATTCTAGAGCAAGGCTCAGTCAGAGAATCCAAGAGTTGTTATGCTGCTTGTAGTAGCTTCTTATCGAGGTCCAAGACATAACAGAAAGAAAATAAAGAGCTTGATCCAAGAAAGATCACTGAATTACAATATATGATGAATGCATAGATTTATCAGGTGTCTTATTTAAAATCTTATCAGAACTCTAAACCCCCTCCATACACACGTATGAAAGGAGAGATATTTGGAAGATTCAAATTTGCTTGAGTTACTCATATATTGGATCCCAGTGATTCTCTGCTTGGATGAGGCTGATCCTTTTTGTCTTCTAGACTATGCAATGACTTAACTTAAAGCAGGTACCTTACAAAAGAAGTTTTGGGTCCTCCTCTTCCACCTCAAAATCCCTCCTTGCCTGAAAACTTTCAACTAGAATATGTCGGAGTATATAACACAATCTAGCCTAAGAAGAGAAAGCTTTCCAGTCAAAAGAATTGTGTGAATTTGCTAATTTGTATTCTCAGAAGTCTGGCAATGTATGCAGAAATTGATGCTAATAGTGTTGAACAGGAAGAGAAGAGCAGAAATGTATCTGGCTTTTTGCCTCAGTCACTAGCTCTAGGTGGCAGCCTGGCATATGTACTACTGCATCTTCAGCAGTACCCATGGCTGCCATCCATGCCGCATGGGCTCTTTCTTTGCTCATCTGCACCACTCCCTGGCTACACACTCCACTGTCATAGCCACCATCATGGAGAAGCTAGCCAAGGCCAATAAAAATCAAGGTGACCCAAGAAAATGGCTTCTCCTCTGAAGAAGATACAGAAAGAGCAAAGATGAAGAAATGTCAAAAGATGACGACAGCCGTGAAGAGGCTGTCAGCCCTCAGAGTAAAGGCAAGAAGGCTACCATAACACAGACAAAGAAGGTGGCAGTTTCTCCAACAAAAACTGGTTGCTATTGCCATGTTTGCTAAGAAAGCAGTTGTCACCTCAGGAAAAAATGGCAGCAGCCGCATGAGCCAGAAAGCCAGTTATCCCAGCTAAAGCAGTTGGAACACCTGGCAAGAGGCAGCCACATTAGGTCAAGTATTGGCAGCAACTGCTGGAAAGATGGGAGCTGACACCCCAGCCAAGTGGGGAAAAGAATGGCAAGAATGTCAAGAAGGAAGACAGTGAGGGGGAGGGTAATGGCAACCATGAGGAAGAAAATCATCATAGAGAGTGGATGAGGGTAGGTTTGGCCAGCTGTGATGAAAGCAGTAGCTGCTGCCCTTCCTCAGGGGACAAAGGCAATGAGCAGGGCATCCAAGAAGACGAAGGGGATGGCCACAATGGGAAGAAGAGGATGCTGAAGAAGGCACTATGGAGACCAGAGCAGCCAAATGAAAGAAGCTCCTACAGAAGCTATTCCTGTGAAAGGTAAAAGTAGGGAGGAAGATGAGGAGGGAGAGGAAGGAGAGGAGGAGACGCAAGATGGGTAGGAGGAGGGAAAGAGGAGAAAGAGAAGTATAAGGAGGAGGAAAAAGAACCT